CCCCCACACCCACCCGCACCCACATCCACCCACACCCACACCCACACCCACACCCGGACCACTCTGCAGTTCCCTAGTCGGTGTAGGTATCGATATTACTGAATAGAAAGGGGATACCACACCCGCACCCATATAGGAATAAGGGGTTATAGAGTTAAGTATAGAAATAGGGGGTTAAGTGGAGACACAAAAGAGTTAGGTATATAAATAGGGTGGTTAGATAGAGGAAAAATTGCTTAAGAGGTTAAGTACAAAAATCAAGGTGTTAGATATAGGAACAAGAGATTAAGTATAGAAATAAGGGATTAGATATAGATATGCGAAGTTAGGTATACATCTAAATAGAGGCAGAGATACATGTAGGTTAAAAGATAAAGGTATTCAGAGGAAGTGTGTTAGTCGGGCGGTATTATATTGAATGACGTACAACTCTTAAAAAGGGTTTCGAATTCGTTACCAATGTCGAAACTCTTGTTAAGTTTCGTATGGTGCCTTTCTTTTTCAGTGTAATAGTATAGTTTATTTCTGAATCAACTAACTTGTTTGATTCTCATCTAAGAACATAAAGAAAAATTTGAAAAAAAAAGACTTTTATTGTCTACTAAATATCTGTTTTGATAGCTTATATTTAATATAATATTCAGTTAAAACATACGAAAATTAGTAGGTGAATAATATCTTCATTTCACCAAGCGAACATCGAATATACAAGCACCATATACACAAAAAATTATTATTAATGTTTAAAATTGAGACAGCCCTACGAAGTGAGAAGTCAATTCATATTCTATATTTTTAAACGTTGTGATATGATAGAATTGACTTCGTTCTGATTGGTAATTTAATTACTCATAGAAATGTCATACTTCATCCACGAGCAAATTTGACTGTCATTATAAGTCACGATATTCATTATTGACTATTTAACATTGTCATTGCTGACGATATCGGACATGATAGAAAATAATTATATATATATGCCGTAGGACGAATTAAAATCTAGTTCAGTTTTAAATCGAACTAGGACAGATTAAAATTTTAGTTCTTCCTAGTTCAGATTAAAATTTCGAAGTCAACTAGTTGACTTCGTAACACAGTTTGAACTCAACTAGTTGACTTTAAAATTTTGATCTAAACTAGGATAAATTAAAATATTTTAAACTGAACTAGGACAGCTTGAAATATTTTAATCTCAACTAGGACAGATTAAAATATTTTGATTTGAACTAGTTCAGATTGAAATGCAGACAATTGGATGGATGGTTGTTGACAGTGAAGGCGAGCGCTGGGATGTGGGTAATAGTTCCATATTCACTCATCATCATTCATCATACACCCTTGCCCTCACCCCGACACGTATCTTCAACCAGACAGCCACGAATTGTTTGACTAAAAATTTTAATTTATCCCAGTTCAGATCAAAATTTCAAAGTCAACTAGTTGAGATTAAACTGTGTTGCGAAGTCAACTAGTTGACTTCGAAATTTTAATCTGAACTAGGAAGAATTAAAATTTCAATCTGTCCTAGTTCGATTTAAAACTGAACTAGATTTTAATTTTTCCTACGACATATATATATACAGAGGTGTATGATCATATAGAATGAAATATGAATTATTCAACTGTTAACATTCTTGACCTATGTGATGAAATATTGCTTACCATTTTAAACAAACTCAATAATATTGATGTATTATATTCATTGATAGGAGTGAATCAAAAATTCGATAGATTAACTCGAAGTATTAACTTTACACAATTTCTTGATTTCACAACGATATCATTAAATGAAGATGATTACTCAAAAATTAATTCAATTCTCAATTGGATTTGTTTTCATATAATACCTAGGATTCAACACAACATTCAATGTCTTATTCTAGATCCTTGCTCAATCGATAGTGTTCTTTGCATTCGAAATTATCCTAAACTTCATTAAACCTACTCTTATTAATCTCAAAGTTGAAATGGCTATTCGTATTTTCTCTAGTACGTTATTTCATCTCATCATTTATTCACATCTTTAAACATCAGATTTCTGATCTTGTTGTAATGATTAATGGTACTATCCAATATGAATATAGGTGGTGTTCATACCCATGTATTTTTGTCAATATTTGTATGGAGTTTACAAATCTAACTCATTTCTGGTTTGATTTAAAAAACAAAAGTGTATATACATTAGAATCACTTACTACTTTGCGGTCTACATGTTATTCATCAAGTATTGTTCATTTAAATATTAAGGTAAAGACTTTTGATGATTGCCTCTGGTTACTCGATGATCATCTTAGTCAATTATGTACATTGATTGTTCATGTCGAACATATAATACGTCAAAGATTAACAATAATACGGTAATATATTTTAAATCATAACGAAAAACTTCTTTTATTTCGATTCTTGAGAAGACAGAAAGCATTTATATATCGAGAAATAACCTTAACTCTAAAGTGCTATACATTAATATATTTGAAAAGGTTTTCATTTCATCATTGATGAATAAGAGAAAAAGATCGAAATAGAATGAAGATAACTGACTATTTATATTAATTTTTATAGAAAATTTTGTCGAATTTAAAATGCTTTTCGTTGACTTCATTTTGTATAACATTGAAATATGATAATCAAATTGTTTCACTTCTTCGTCAAATGTCACAATTAGAAAAATTAACATTATCTCTTTATGTCCATAGTCGAACTTCATTTATTGATGGAACTCATTTGAATAATGATATCATTCGTAAAATGCCATATCTACATACATTTATTTTTGATATTGTCACCGAAGATATCATAATCAATAAGGAATATTTACCAACATCTGATGATGCTTGACGTGCACTCATCCAAAAAGGATATAATATTGACTGCTATATTGACTATCTTTGAAATGAAAGACGAAGTCGATGTCATATTTACTCGCTTCCTTTTACTATGGAACGTATAAATGCAATTACTAGTAAATATCTTCCTTGTGGCGTATTCAGACATGTTCGTAAGCTATGTGTGCGTGATCCAATGCGTTCAATTGAATATGATTTCTTCGTTTTAATCTCACAAGCATTTCCATTACTTGAAGATTTAACTGTGTTAAGTACGGTGAATCAAAAGAAACAATCAAATAAATTAGATGAACATGAACAAACATTTTCAATTATTGAATATTCTCATCTTATGACACTCGATCTAATTATGTCTCATGGCGACTATGTGAAACAATTTCTTTTCAACACAAATACACGTTTGCCTCGTCTTAGTACATTAAGTATTGACTATGAAAATTTGGTAAATGTAACAGAGAATTTTACAAGTAATATCACTCATGACAATTGTGCAAATTTAAAAAACATTTTTTTTTTGTAAACAACCAAACATTCTTGAAAAATGTTTCTCTAGTATATTTCAACATTTACATTAACGATGGTTGCTTCAAAAATAGAGTCATTATTATAGTTCATACTCGATCTGACAATGATTTAAAAATGAATACTGATATAAACAAAAGTTGTTATGTTAGTTGTGTTTATTTTTATCATTTTGATAAATGTATCATAAGACGAGTTTTCAATGAAATTTTAAATTTTTTAAATTACTAATATTTCATTACACATCTTATTCTGAAATAACAAATAAGAACGATAGATAATATAACTCAATCTTCGTATAAAAAATTTCAGTTTCTCTCATTTTTATTTAATAAACAAAAAAAAATATAATAAATAAATAAATATAATATTTTAATAATAAATTTTAGTCGACGTTTCGACAGTTAATCTGTCATTTTCAAGACCAGATGTTAATTGAGGATGTGGGTGTTGGCGAAGAGAAGATTCAAACCCACACTCACCAACCCACATCTACATCCACCCTCGAAACGTTATAAAATGACGAAAAACTAAAACTTTTGTCTTTTATTTCTTTAAGCTGCTGTAAAAAAACTTCTATTCATATAACTCGATTTTTTGCCCATGAATCAGTGTAATTAAACTCGCTTGAGGCAACTCATGCTCGATTATGTGACAATTTTGCGCAGTTGTATTGCAATTTATTTGCATTCGATTAGGTGCTCTATGAGTGAATGATTAAGGAATATTATTGTTCGAACGACTGTGGGTATTGGTATCGACAACATTGAATATGCTTGAATGTTACAGAGATGCGTGGGACTGATGAAGAAAACAATCATCGAACAATATAAATACTTGTTCTTGCTTGCTCGCAATTCTAACCAGTCGTACACATGTATGAATAGTCTACACTGAAAAAAAAAGGTCCATTACTGAACTTTTAAGGTTTCGTCCTCCGTTACAGAACCTTTATAAGGTTTCGTAGTCAATTAAGTTTCGTACAACAGCTTCTACAGGTACACAGTCAAGAGATTTTGCACGAATCCAATCTTTTTCCTGATACCATCTGTAACAAGAACACATGTTTACTAATCAGACAGTGGACTGATCTGATTTCATTGCTCCTTTTATTCATTTACATTGACGCTACAATCAATTTTGGATATTAAACGGCAGCTTTCACACTTCATGCTTTACAAATGAGAACTTTATTGTTGGATATAAGACTAAGATATTATGGATAGATGAAGAGATTAACATAAAGAAATAAGTTGTTACGGATAGTGATACGTGTTAGGGATAAAAAGCAGGGTTTAGATTTAGAATGAGTGGTTAAGGATGGATTTAGGGGCTACATTCATGTGTAAAGTGGTTAGGGTAAATCTAAGGGTTTTGAGTTAGAAATAAGCTGCTAAGGATAGATACAAGCATTTAGATATAGAGATAAGGGGTTACGGATAGTTATCAGAGTTTAGAAATAGGTGTACGAAATTCGAAATATGCTAGTGTGAATGGTCGATTACAATGCTAAATGATTAGAAATAGATAAGCTGGATTATAGGCACGCATCGAGTGGTCAGATTAATATTTATGTAGATTAAATAGGTGTTTGAGCATGGATGTGTTAACGGAATAGTATTATCTGGAGTGTAATAGGAAACTGATATGTCAGAGCCTTTTTTCAAGCAGCAAAAAAGAAAGATTCGTATAAAACTTTCTTCGTACGAAACTTGAAGGGGTTCCGATTTCGTTGCAAAAATTGGAACTTTTTTGGGTTTCGTATGGTATCTTTTTTCTTTAGTGTATCATATGCTTGTTTTACTTGTCAAACAACATTCTCGGTTTTCGTACTTTTAATGTCTTTTGCGAAGTAGAGAGTGATGAATACAAGACCTATTTCTTTCGAATAATAGCTAGCGCTTGCCTGCTGGAACACGAATACAATGTAATCTCACCATACAGAAGTAAGCGTTTTTCTTCAAATTTAAGTAAGAGATCACTACTTGAATTACTTTCTCGACACATTAACTTGAACAATGACAGATATGCTATTGTGATAATCATTCGTCACACGCACTGTGGTAAACGGTCTATTCTCAGTCAGGACTTACAGCAAATCTTTTTAAATTTTCAACACTGACATACGGAGTCTTCACTAAGGTAGAAAAACTCCAAAATTATATATGTCCTTTGCATTTCCTCCAAAATTATAGCCATTTTACTGAGTGTGAATGACCAAAGGGGATGAAGAGAACGGGTACAACCACATCTATGCCCTACTTCACAGATTTCCAATAGACATTGCCAACCGATCGTAATATTTGAAACAATTAGCTGGGAATATGTTTGTCTACTAGAGTACGAGGCATTCGGGTCGTTAGCATATGGGTGTGAGTAAAGAATTTCATCCACACTCATACCAACATTATTCACATACTTTCCAATGTTTTAGATAAAGAAGCAGAAGTCTCAGCAAGAGCAAATCCATTCAAGCATTCGTCAATCAACTCATGGTTTGATAGAATGAGTCAGAAAAATGAATTACTTCTTGAAGGTAGAATCGCTCGCCTAGTACTTGTGAATGAAGAGGATCGAAAAATACTTGATCCTGTCGTCGGCTATGCTCAAGAGCCACTTCTTCCACTCACTGAGGCATGTGAACCGTTGGTTCCCATTGTGTTCAACATATTGTTTTATGCTTTGGATGCTCTCAAAGGTACTCCAGATGATCCACCTGATGATCTGACTCGCGATGAATCGGCTTCGATCCGTCTCTACACGATGGAGTGGAATGACGGACATAAAAGTCTATATTCTATTCTCAATAAAACTCTCAAGACAGCTGATCGCAAAGAATTACAACCTTGGCACAAATACCTGAAACTTTTTCTCACCGCATTGGCCAAAATACCATGTGCACCTCCTCAAACTATCTGGCGTGGAGTGCGAAAAGATGCTAGCAACGAATTTCCACCTGGAACTCTGGTAACATGGTGGAGTTTCACATCATGCACAAAAACGCTCACAGTTTTGGAGAGTGATGTTTACCTGGGCAGTAAGGATGCAAGAACTCTCTTCTCAATCGAAGCCATAAATGGTAGGAACATATGTGCTCATTCATATTTTGATACCGAAGATGAAATTCTACTACTACCTGGAACATACATGGAAGTACAATCACAATTAAGTCCTGCACCTGATCTCCATATCATTCATTTGAAACAAAAGGTGCCAAAAGAAACGCTCCTAGAGCCTCCATTCGAAAGTACTTTATATTTTTAAATAGTTTACTTTGACTTCTACTATATCTCTTTGTTTAGATGCATGTCTTTACGCAAAAATCGAGTAAGTCTTATCTTGTCTTTGTGCGTCTATCATTTTAAAAGGACTATTGAATATGTTGCTCAGACATCGCTGGTATAAAAAGAAAAAAATCATCATTCCAATTTGCTTGTTGACAACTGTGTGCTTAGCGGCACTGATCCTCGGTTCTGTCTTCGGATTAAGGTCGACCACGAAAACGACAGGTATGGCTTTGACTACTCTTTTTAACCTAAAGACGAACAATAACTTCATGCTACAAGTTCAGATCATTCATTTAACATGCGTTCTGCTCATGTAGAAAAGTTTCGTAGTTTCAAATTTGATCAATTTCTCTCACACGGAGAACCTAGCAACGGCCTTGTCGTTAGCATACAGTTTCTCGTTCTTATCATTCAATCTTATCTATTGTTCTTATTGTTTTCAAAAAAGAGTTTTTATCCAGTTTATGCAATCGATTTCTTTGTTCTTATGATAATCAGTGGGTTAACATTGTAGATCATTTTTGAATATCTCGAGGTCTGTTGTTTCGAACGTATTCAATACCTTAGACATCTACGGTATCCTATACTTAGTTGTACCTTTCAAGTTGTTCTTCTCCATTAGAACTATTTCATTAGTCCGATGTGAAGCTGGATATTTTGAGACACTTGACTATTGGATAGACATTGTTGCTCAAATTGACCCTTGTCATTCCTCGACTGTTAGAAAACAAATAGAATCATTCACGTGACATTCTATTTTACATATTTTCTATTTTTAGAGAGTCCAATAACGAGTTGGTGCCCAATCGACACAAAAAACGTTTGTAACTTTTCAACAAGGTATAAAATGATACCAGAAGGATACTATGGCGCTGAATTCGTCTATATAAACTGTAACCAAACACTGTCAAATCTCACTATTGTAATCAGAGTTCTAAGAACAGTAGGTGCTAGTTATGCAAAACAATATAACACATTTTTGGCTAATATTGTCGGCGAGACTCATAATCAAACGAATTCAGAAATTCACTATATTTGGCAAACTGGTAGTAGAAAAACAGTTGTACCCAATAGTTTGCCATACTATGCAGAAGCACAATTTCAATTACAAGGTGTCAATCAAACAGTAGGCAATGACACGTATAGTGTGAGGGCACAAATTAAATGCAATGGTCAAATATTAACATACACAGGACACTTTTGACAGACGGATTATTCGAACAAAACCGATTGTATATTTCAAATAAAATTTGTTATACTATTCTGAATAAAATGAGTTCAATTATGTTCAATAGTCTGGCCGATTTTTTGCATCAAACGATTGAAAATAGTGATATCCTTGATTCATTTCTCCAAAAACAAATGCATGTTATGTTCACATCAAGATATTTTTAAAATGTGTACACCCAAAGGATTCGAATTTTTTTCAAGCATTTCTCTTGAAATATACAGCAAGAAAAGTCATACAAATTTCTCTTCTCACCTGTGCCATAGACTGCGATAAACATGCCGAAAAAAAGGTAAGGATGGGGGTGGGTGGGAGTGTGTGGATATGATGTGAGTACGTGTCAATGTTAGGCTTCAGCTTACTCACACCCACCAACACCCTTTTCGAATTTATTTTTTATATGCTCTAATTCAACCGCTAGTATGTTGTAGCCGTAACGATTCTGAAGATATTTTTGCTAGCGGAGGTTCAAGTGAATTTTGATGTTGGTCCATGGTAAGTGAACGAAATACTGAGAGAGCATTAGTCTCCAGCTAAAATAGCTGGTGCGTTCGCTTTATGAGTAGTACAAATATATCGAACGGAGAGTTTTTTTTTATTAATTTAATACAAAATTGAAATCAACATCGATTAAGCTGAACCGCTAGGAAATGATAGAGCTAAAGATGACGAATCGCATGAGATCAATTTCAAAAAATTTTATTAAAATCTGTGAGCAGAAATAGATAAATATTGTACTTTTTTTACACTTTAGCTTGTTTTACTCTGGTGCGTTCGCTTTAAGGACATTTTCTTGCTGGATGTTCGCTTTAGGGACATGCGCATAAAGTGAACGTTATTAATTTTTGATTTTCTACCGCTGATTACTCAACTATTGTTACAGTTACAAACTATTTTTTTTATATGACCAAATGCAGACTTTTC